TGTCAGACATCACAGAAAATCAGCACAAAAGGAGCTGGGCTCACTGGAGAAACGCACCATTTTTAGCGACATCTCTTCTGAATCCTCCTAATCTTGCGCAGCATCCTTTTGTCTTATTCCATCAAAATGTGACAAAGCCTTTTCATGAGGGTTGTTTTACAGATGCTCGTAGTTCAGCGACGTGTTTTTCCTCATTCATACGGAGCGCTGTCATTGCTGTTAATTGTATATGTTGCAGGAACACCTCTGGGTCCTGCTGGGATGAGTGATGGGCATATCTGTAATCAGAGGTTTACAAGGCAGTGGCTGGGAGGGGACGGGGCGGCAGGAGATGCTGTTGGGTCGGGGAAGGCCTGGCAGGAGCCCTCGCTTTCCTCTTTCCCAGGGCAGCATGGCCCCTCACCGGCTTTTCTGGGGATGGTCCTTGCAAGCGACATCCTGGGACATGCTGTGGTGTGAGGGGTGCTTCAAGGTGAAGACGGTAAATGTATTTGGCAAAGCTCTCCTTCAAAGCCGTGGGGGGTTTTGCGTGGCTCATCCGCATGGTATGCCCTTGTTCGAGACCCATGGGAGCTCCCTCCTTCTCTGACTCTGTCCCAACATCTTACCAGTCTCATATGTTTTAAAAATAAAGGCACAAAAGCTTGGTGCTGTACCATTTTGGCTGGCTCTGACTTGGTCAGGCAGCCCCTGGCCTCCCAATGGCAGCTGGGCATCCGGGTTTTTCTGGCAGCTGGGAAAACATTCGAAATGAATTTCTCCCTTCCCTCCTCCTTGGGAAAAAAAAAAAGAAGAAAATAAACGATTAGAGCTTGCTAAGGGTTTTCTGTTACACCATTAAACCGTGCACAGCATGCCTCCAAACAGCCCTTGAGGCTATGGTCCTCCGTCTTCCCATCCATCTTGTGTCTGTCACGTCCCCGCTCACTTAAGGATATTTCTGAGGAGGAGGACTGGAGACCCATTGCAGATGCAACTGCACGTTGCGATCTGTCTCAGATCACAGATATTTTAATGCTGGGTTTTTTTCCCTTGTGATGAGGCCTTGAGTTCCCATGCTGTCCTGTGCCGAGCGGTGCAGGGTTAGGGCATTGCCCGAGCTCCCAGGTGGAGCCTGTCCCATCGGTGTGTCCTTCCCCGGCCATCAGACCTTGCAGAAAATTATGCTTGATGCTCTGCAGCTGCAGGCCAGGCATGAGATGGGATTTTCGAGGTGTTCCCTGTTCTTTGTGTGCTGCTCCTAGGACACTTCCAAGCAGGGTCAAAACTATCTGCAATCCTCCTGTTTAACAACACCCAGAGTAATGCACGGAGGGGGTTTCTCTGTTGTATCCCCGTAACATATGTAGCTGTAAAGCTGCAGTCCTGTGTAAAATCCCACCACGGGGAACGTTTTGTTGCCACTAGTGACACGAATCACTTGGTGGGTGATGGGATTTACTGCGTCCTTTGGCTGTTCCCCTTGGGTGGAGTAGAAGGGGGCTGTGGGGGGTGGAAGTGAAATCAGACTGGCTTTTGCAGACATATTTTGGGGTGTAGGCTGTTCCCCCTTGCCCAATATTTTGCTTTTATTTACAGCCCCCTCCTCAGTGTCTGCTGGCGTGCTGCTGCCTTGGGTGGCCATCTCCTGCCTGCCGGCGGGTGCCGTCCAGCCCCGGGCTGTTGCCCTGCGGGCATTGAGACAGCAGCTCCTAAGGCATAACATGAAGCCCAAGGGCTGGGAGCTGCCAGGCGATTAGATGCACGAGCTTCTGCCTTGGGGGGGTCCCCAACCTGGTGTGTAGCCCTCACCCCCGGAGGGTCGGATCACTTGGCGTCGGATTTGAGCCTTGCACGTGGTCTGCCCCTTATCCCCGCTGGCCGGCTAATCACTGCCTGTTCCTTCTGCCAGAATCTCTCGTGCTGTTGATGTTTTTAATCATTAGGAAACATATATAAAGTTGATGGATGATGTGATGGTGATATACACTACCTACACTGTCTTTAAAGTAAGTATATTCATAAAAATCAAGTAGAAACCAAGGCTAGCAGGAGACTTTTGTTACTGGAAGTCTGTTTTTGTCCCAACACATCCTTCCATCAATTCTTTTGTGAGAGCTAAAAATTGGCTGGCTTCCGTGGAGTTAATAATCATCTGAAATGGAGTTGAGCAATTGATGTTGCTGCATCAAAATGCTTCCCTCCTCCCTTCCCCCTCCTTCCCCCCCACTTCCCCCAAAAAAGAAATTCCTGGCTGATACTCAAAATCCAGTTCAGTTCTCACTGTGCAAGTATTAAACTGTGGGTCTTTTCTTTCAAGTTTCTGGATTTTTATGGGCACAATCAGTCTGTTAACAGGACTTTTTTTTTTTTTGTGGTTTCAATGCATTTATATCATTGACCTTTGCTTTAAAAAGTGTCTGACAGTCTTTACTGGACTGGAGCTATGAAAAGGAGTGTTGTAAGGGGGCTTTATTCTATGGAAGCAATGACCACAGGCAAAGCTTTATATTTGCCGAGTGATTTAATTCTTGCACATGCAGAACTTGGCTCTGTGCCATGTGTAACATGTTGAGAAAAGGTCTGCTTGAGAGGCATTAAAACCAAACTTTCCAAAACCGTCCCTTTTTTAAAAATAGCTTGCTTTCCTGTTATTTTTAAGCTAACGAGTAAAATCAAGGGACGCTGCCCCAAAATGCTGCATTGAGCTCTAGCAGAGTCATTGGGGAAATAAACCTCCTTTAAAGAAATGAAGTGGGAGTCTGGATGGAAGGGTGCCAGCTGGGAAGAAGAGGAGGGTGTCATTAAGATAAAGGCTTGATCGAGGGACAGGAGAGAGTGAATGGAGCACCCTGGACTCCAGGAGGAAGCCTTGGAGGGTGAGGATTATACAGCTCTAGTGCTTGGTCCTGTAAAGTCCTACTCATAGGGCACATACCCAGATGTGTTTTCAGGCTAAATATCAGATCCCCCCCCCCAAATTAGTTGCTTTTCCCTGCTTGGCTCTGCCTGTCCCCTGCCCGCTTAAAGGAATATCTGTCCGGTAGCGGTCAGAAGCAAATAAAAACAAACTGCTTTTTGTTTGCTCTTATTTTAAACACTGTGACAACATTTGGATTAATGTTAGGACTTGTGAAAAGCTCTTTAAAAGTCAAACATACTGAGCTGCTTAACAGCATCCCTTTGAATTCTGCATCTGCGTGCTGCAATTCCAGATAATGGTCTGCAGAGCAAGGCAGCATCATATTTCTTTTTCCTTCTTGTAATCAGTCCATTAAATATGCCTGAAGTTTCATATTCTGGAACTATTTAATTGTGTAGCCACTTGGGCTGAGTTCTGTATTTTGGTGTGCCTTTGAGTATTTCCTTTTTGTTTGGCAAGCAAACAAACAACAGAAATACTAAATTATGTTAATTTCTAACAGAAGCAATGTCTTCCCAAAAACATTGCAATCTACTGCATTTTAATTAAAACCAACATGTCAACAGTGCATCAAGCCATTTGGAGCCTCAGCCTCTATTAGTTTTAATCAGCAGATTTTTCTAGGGGCTTTTAGAAGCAAATTGTGCATTGCTCACTCTTCCCCAGGAGGAGCGAGGGAGAACAATAGATTATCTTTGTGCAGGCACACCGAGCCCTGAAATGCTGAATTAAAAAAGTGTATGAATAGGGTGGAGGTTATATAGGGGGAGGGCTAAGAGGAGGATGCATCCAGCTGTGTGCAGGGGGTGCTCTGTGGATGGTACCCGCCTTGTCCGCTGCAGCTGCAAATAAATCCATCTCCTGGAGGAGACCAAATCACGTTTATTTAGGTTGCTGCCTTGGCTTCCCTGTGCAGCACGCAGGGGTTGAGGTTTCCTGCAGGTCGCCCCAGGGCTATCGGAGATGGGGAGAGGCACTTCTGCGCTCTCTCGTCCTCGGCTCGGGCGTTAGCGGTTCCCACGTGTGCAGGTGGGATGAGCCATAGCTGGCAGTCGCTGTGCTGGGGGATGGATGGGAAAGAGCATTTTATCCATTCCTGTGATTTCTCTGAGAGTTGAGCCTAAATGCTGCTAGTATATAAAGTCGCTTATGAAAGCGATAGGTTTGAAGCCTCTATGTGGAGAGACTGGCATGGAAAGCCAAAGGAATGAGGGTAACCCCTGCTTTTTACAGCCTCCTGGTATTTGCTTATGCCAGCTAACACCAATACCCTCTATTTTAACTATGCAGAGCTCCACCCCTCGCGCAGTCAGCCTCGGTGCCCAAGTAAACAGGCTCCTGCTTGGGGTTAGCTATAGTGGAAACCGCAGGGGAAGGGAAACCCCTCTCTGCCTTTCCCTGGCTCCTACAGGGTGGGAGAAATCGGCTGGGGAGAGGGGCTTTGCCTGGGTGGCCGTGGGGATGTTGTGTGGAAGGGATAAATGAGATCATGGAGGAGAAGCGGAGGGAGTGCTGGTGGCTGGCGCCTGCCTGGGCTGAAACCCGAGCGAGACACCTGAGCTGCTGTGCCGGCTCTTGGGGGGAAGCCGGGAGAGCAGGTGGTGAGCAGGGGATTGTCCACTCGCCCGAAAATCCGGGAGGTGCTGCTCGGCACCAATGCGGAGGGGAGGTGATTATCCACGTGGGTGCTCTTTTATCTTTCAGGCGTAGCGAGCACGGGTGTCCCAGTGTCCTGCAGGACCCGGGGCCGGCGCAGGTGCTTGATGAAGCCAGGACCAGAGAGGGGCTGTCGGAGCATCTGCTGGGGGCTGATGCATGGGGATGGCTTTGGGCCAAGGATTCCCAGAGTGAGTGATGATTTCTGGTGCCCAGCTGGAAATGCTGTCAGGGCAACTGGTTTTGCAGAGGCTCAGGCTTTCTTGAACTCCCCATCACTTTTTGGAAATTGTTGCCTATGGGTTTTATGTCCCGCTTCCAGCAGGCATTTCTGCGTAGAGTTCCCCGCTCTGGAAAGGGAGTCCAAAACACTGACCACAGGGTTGTACTTTGGATGCCTCTCAGCACATCCAGATTTCACTGTTGGTTTTTCTCCATGCAGCTCTGGGAAATGCCAGTGTAAAGTTGGTGTCACGGACCTGAAGTGTGACCGGTGCAGTGATGGATACTACAGGTTTAACGAAACCACCTGCGAGCCGTGCCAGTGCAACAACCACTCCAAAACCTGCGACAGCTTAACAGGTAACTTTCCTCTTGTGACCATGGTGGGTGCAGACTTTACCTGTCTTCTCTGTCTCTGTTTTTTGCTGTTTTCATTCAGCAGACCTGCACTCTCATCCTCTTCATCTGCATCTTTATGCCTTGAGTATCCAGAGTCTTTACCTTAAAACTGAAATTAAAATGCGTGGCAAGGTTGGAGCTCATCCTCTTCTCAAGGAAGTCAATAAAGGCTGCGTTATTTACCCCAGGCTGCAGTGCAGAGCCTTTATTCTGCAGCCTCTATCGGAAATCAGTGCTCTATTGTTCTCTGCACTTACACAAATACACAACACGGGCTTTTAAGGAGCTTTTGTTTAACTGCTGTTTACCTGGAAACATATACTGTACTGGCACTGACGTAAGGTGACTGTTATTGCTACAGATAACATGATTAGTGCTGGAAAAAACTGGCAGCACCTAATTAATATTGCCCACTTCTTATAAATTTGCCTTGTTCATTTTCCTTGATCATTTCTTTGACTCTCTCTCACTCATACAGATGTTGATGGAGTGCAAATGTTGAAGCACCTGTGCTTGAATAGCTTATGGAATGGCGGGGGGAACCTAATTGCTTTCCCATCTCCACTGAAAGGAGAGATCCCGGAGGAGCAGTTATGTGACTGCCTGCACAATCCCCACTGTAGCAACAAAACTCGCACTTCAAAATCCAAATTCGCATCAAAACTTCCAGGCTGAAATGCAGTTCTGTAATATTTATCCAGGAGCTTAGAAAGGAGCGATAATTTAACAAACATTGCAGGGTGTTTTGCATAGCTGGCAGAGAGGCAGAGCTCATCAAATATGGTATTTCTGGGCAATTTCTGCACTGGTGTCTGTTCCCTCGCGGCCTGTGTTTGCAGCAGAGGAACGGGCGGCCGCAGTGCTGACTGTGCCCAGCCAATGCCCTGATCCTGCTCGGCAGAGAGGGTGTTTCTGTGGGAGTCAGGGGTAGCGGCAGGCACCAGATCTGCACTCCTTGAGGGTGAATTATTGCATTCATTCCTATACTGAACTTTAAGTGCTTATGTCCTACTAATACTGAAGGATGTAAGATTGTACCTAAAGCTGTGCACACATCAGCTGTGTTACTGATTTGGAGCTGGGTGTGTGGGTTTTGTGAAGGAGTAAGATAATCTGCTCTTCCTTTTTCTCCCTCAATGTTCCCCCTGCTCTTGATTTAAAAAAAAAAAAACCCAAAACAAAACCCAGCGCAGACCTTGCCTCCGGGATAGGGCTGTTCAGGCAGCGCTTCTGCTGGGGCTGTCCAGCGCTGACCACAGCATTGCAAAGAAAAACCCTCTTTTTGGTTAATGACCTACTGTTGATTTGACAAAAATCCCTTTTTTAAATTTTTCCTCCATCTGCTTTATTTGCTGCCGGGGGTAGGGGAACCCAGCAAAACCAGAACAGAGAACAGTCGATTAAAAATTAGATCTGACATCTACTAAGTAACGCAGTGCACTCAGCCTGCTCTAAAGACTGCACTTCGTGTGACCTCCCCAGCTTTGCATCAACTGTGTGTAGTCTTTGTCAAATTTTCAAGGTTTCTTTCGCATTAATGTTGTACTTTGGGCTCCCTCTGCTGGCTCTGCAACCATCTCCGCACGGCCTCGCTCGGCGTTGTTCTGGCCAGGAGGAATATTTAAAATGACTGTGCTGGAAATTGGGCAGCCAGAGCTCCCCAGGCGACAGCGCTTCCTTCGACATGACCCTTGTGCCCCGTGTTGTGTCTGTGCAATGAGTTTGGTTGCTTCTTCCCAGTTGGGGTACTCTGAGGTCTGATCCTTCCTGAGGGCATTATCAGGATGGGAAGTGCTATTAATTATTAAGGCTTTCCACAGCAATGCCCGATTGCAAGCCCATGCGTGCTTTGCATGGCTGAGCAACTTGCTGACTCATTGGAAACGCAGCCATTTTGCAGGGTTGGTGTAGATAAATGCGAGTAATTTCTGCCGATGGGAAAGACATTGGTCCCGAAATGACCAAGACTGTACAGAAAACGTAGGTGTGATTCCAGATTTATACCACCATTAATGCCTGCAGAGCACAGTTCAAGGCACCCTTAGTGCTGATCGGGCAAACTGACCTTCCACGAGCCGGTCTGTCCGAGGCATCCCGCTGAAGCGGCTGATCGAGGTTTGCAACCGGAGAAACCAAGGCCAGCAGATAATTTTCCCCTCTGTGGACAGAGGGGAACCACAACACCCTCTCACCCTGACATCTCTCCCACAAAAACCACTGGCTCGTGTCTGACAAGCTGTTGGGTGAAGAGCAAACAGTGTGTGGGAGCTGACGCTGAGCAAGTGTCCTTAGTCACTGGGGTGCTGCCAGCCCCACCGCGGGGATGAATCAGCCGCTTCCCAAAAGCAGCAGCTGCCAGGGTTTGCTTCCTGCGCTGGGTGCGAGGGTCGGCTGCAAGGACACGCCGGGCTTGCTCAGGGGTGCTCAGCTGCAGTCACTGCTGTGGAAAGAGAAGAGTAGGAGCCATGCAGTGTGTTGGGCTTGCAAGGGAGCCAAACTGTTCCAATATTAATAAGAAAATCTCCTGTGGTTTTTTTAACCGTCAGCATTAACCTAATTCAGGATTTTTTCTGTGGTTAATGTTGATATGAGACTTTTCCGTACCCCCGCAGCACTGCTAGATTAGCTCAGTGAATCTCCTGTCTGTGCTCATATGCAGTGAATAAACTGCTCTGCGCCGCCCTGGTTTGTTAGAAGGTGGCTGTTGCCTTTTCAGAGTCTCATACATGGGATTTAATCTAATAAGCTTCCCTCAGGTCACTGCCACCTCGACGACGAGCCTGCTGACTTACAGGATGTTCCTGTTGATGGATGGGCTTTTGATAGAGACTGCGTTTTTATAGCTACGGAGATTTTTCTTTCTAGGGTCACAATAGTATCAAAATGCAATTTAGAGGGCCATTAGGACACAGCCTCCACTAAGACACAGCACATCGATTTTCTGATTTAGGGGCTACCCCCGGAAGGGGAGGTGGCTCACGTGAACCCTCAGTTCTTCTCCATTTCTCCGGGAAGGTCAGTAATTGCTGCTGCCTTGTGCCTGTAGCAAATGTTCCTCCTGTGATGGGGATGGAGGAGCTAGACCCACACTGGTGGGGTGGAGCCATCTGCCCCCGGAGCAGGACGGTGGCACTTCCTTACCCCGACCACCAGCTCTGTGGGGTAGGAAGAGGCTGCACAGAAAAAAGGGCAAAGGCATAAACTCGAGGGACCCCTTGTGGGAGTGGGGGATTTGAAGCATCAAGATCCCGTCTCACGGGCAGAAATGCAAACTGAAACCCCTTTCCTTGAGGACCATTTAATATTAATAGCATGTGTTGACCTGCACTGACCTTTTAAAGTGATGAACTGTGGGCCTCTCTGCTGGAGCTACCTACTTTTTCACATTGTGTGTGTGTGGAGGGGGGGACAACCATCAGAAGGCCATAAGAGGCCAGGATCATGTGTTGGCCAGGGGGCATCCAAAATCACCTGTGAGCTCTGATAATTGAGAGCGCTCCATGCAGATTCTTGCTCCAAATGTTCTGCTCCAGTTCCTGCTGCCGAACGGTTGCTTGTGCTCCTGTCCCTTCCCCAGGCACCTGCCTGCTCTGCCAGGAAAACACCGAGGGAAACCACTGCGAGCTCTGCAAGGAGGGCTTCTACAGAAGCACCTATCCTGCCCACGCCTGCCATCGCTGCCCGTGCTCCACCGTGGCATCGACCGGTACCTGCCGAATACGTAAGGCTTTAGTTTTGGTCTAATTCCTCAGATAATGAATGTAGCTCTTCTCAGTGTGTTTCAGTTAAATTGCCGCTCTGTGCATCAGCCTAGCGAGGTGGTTTATAGCCCGTGAACCTCCCATTCGTGGGAACCGGGGCACCTTGCTGGAGGCAGTGCCTGCCACGGTGCGTCCCTGGTGCTTGCGTTGCCTCTTGTGAGCGCAGCTGCGCAGCGGAGGGCATCAGAAACGCTTCGCTACAGGCTGCAGCTTGCTCTGAAGAACCTGCGAAGTTTTGCAGAGAGAAATTGCTGGGCTTGTGGCAGCCAGGAGAGGTACAGGAGATGGCCAGCAGTGCCACGTAGCCATCCATGCCTCTGTGAGCCCTCTTCTGAATATCTCCGTGGGACTCCAAACAGATTCTCCAATCTTCCTGCTCTATTTTGATGTAACCAAGAGAAGAAGTCATAGCTGTAATAAACAGATGTAAGACTTTTTTTTGATATTTCCTTAATCAGTTTTGCAACCAAGCCTCCCCTGGCTTCATATAGGCCAAAAAGTTCCTGCAGATTGCTAACATCCCCAATATAGTTCCAGCTGTTTTCTGAAATTGTCTGTTTGCGATGGAAATGTTCAGGAGTAATAATCTGTTTGCTTAGCAACGTGCCGAGCATGCTCTGTGAGGCTGGTACAAGGCATCAGAAACCCCCAAAGGTTTTTTTTTCCCTAGGAACAGAGAAACTGCTGCAGTTCAAAAGTTCTATTTTCAGCTTAAAATTTGAGATTGGTTAATACTCAGTGGCTGCTGATTTTTGTCATAGTGACTTGTGGTCAGTTCCCACAGAACAAATCCCACAGTGGGTGTTTCTCTGCAAGGGGCTGTGGCACATACCTGTTTTCCTTTCTGTATTCTTTAGAGCCTGGTGAAACTGCCCCAAGGTGTGACAAATGCAAAACGGGGTACACTGGCCCGAACTGCAACCAGTGCGACAACGGCTACTACAACTCCGACAGCATCTGCGTGAGATGTAAATGCAACGGGAACGTGGACCCAGCACGGTCACCCAGCGTGTGCAAGCCTGATAGCGGGGAGTGCATCGGCTGCCTGTACCACACTGCTGGGTTTCATTGCGAGGAGTGTGAGGACGGCTACGTCCGAGACCCCGAGGGCACCAACTGCACCAAGAAAGGTAAAACGTGCTCCTCAAATCAGTGTCGAAGCTTGCTGTGCGGCTCAGGTGGGCACAAGCTGCCTGAAGGCTGGGGAGGGAATACTGTTAATTGTTCAAATTGATTTAGATTCATCTGGCCTGTGGTACAGGGAAGAAAACCAGACCTTTATAAAATGGTGGTGCCTACTAGCCTTGAAATCTCTTGTTGAGGTTTAGCTCTGTGACCACCCCGATTCCCAGACTGTGGCAGGCACCTCTAGTGAACAAGCTGGAAAACAAAACCTATTTGCAGTGTATTTAAATGTACATTTTCAGATTTCTATTGCTTGATATACTTGATCTCTTAGGGCCCAGTAAATTGTCCTTATTGACTAGTCCATTCAATAGCACTGTCTAGTTCCCTAGAAAGGGTCTTTATAATAAATTGTCACTCCTCATACTCTGCGAACAGTAACTACTTAGACCAAGTTTAGATACTCTTTTTTTTGCTTTCTAAATGGGGAAGCCAAAGCTCAGAGAGTTGAGATGTAAACTTGCACAGCGAGTTAACGCCAGAATTTACTGGTACCTGCTCTGGGGGTCTCTCATCAGTCTTCAATCCACATCCGAGACACTGTATGTAGTATCTCAGACGCAAACTAGCTCTGGTACTTAGAGAGGCTACTGCATAGTGGGAGAACTCATAGTAAAATGAGAGAAAATGGTTCTTAAGTTGCTCCCTCTGTGGTTATCAGGAGGTTGGTCCACAAGGTGGATCTCCATCTCCATGCATGGAAACATTACAGGTGTTATGTGTTAGATAAGAGAACCCAGAGTTCAGGAAAGTATCTGGGCCCAAATTCGTCCTTGTCACCAACAGAGATTTAATTCAGATCTTCCATTAGGAGCTAATGCGGTTTTCACTCCCATGCTGCTCTCTGGAGGTGTAATCACAGAGTCGTCCTCTGCGCGGGGAGATGATCAATACAAAGAAGTTGAATGCTCGTTAGCTGTAACTGTACCGTTACAGGGCTGGAAATGGCCGTTTTGCATTGGGTCATCCATTGTCTCACCCTGCACAGCTCTGTCTTTGTACAAAGAGCTACGTGACCTTGCTCCATTAAAATCCATGTGTATGGCTTTGCTTGTATACTTGCAGTTTTCACCATCCGTTTTATTTTAATGGCATTGTTATAGGCAATTCCTGATGTGGGGAAAGACTGTCCCCTTTCAAAGGGACTGGGACATGCTCCTCTAGCTTTCCTGTTTCCTTGACACCTGTTTTTTCCCTTTCTTATTAAGCAATTAAAAAGGCGCACAGTTTCTTTCCAGTTTCTTACACACAATTTGCCTAAAAATTGACATGCTGAGGTACTGTGCATTAACTAGTCTTAGGTTAAGATTTTCATAAACCACTAGTGCATTTGAGTGGCCTGGTTTTGAGTGGCTTCTAGAGTGAAATCATCACCCACCAGATCTGCAGATGAAATTGTTGGAGTCTGAGACTCTAAGTGGTCGCGGTTGAAAAAAGACTGCATGTTTTGTACGAACCTCTAGTATCCACAGGGACTGTTCAGAGTCTTAAACCTGACCAAGACTTCGATGCTTTCAAGGCTGATGGCGAGAATATTCAAAGGACGTGTGGGATGACCGAAGTCAGTGTTTCCGACCCCTGCGTGGATGGTATTCCTGCTGCGACGGTGAGGCATAGCAGCAAGGACTTAGTGATGCAGCGTGGCACTGTGCCACCCAGCCGAGCATCGCAGCCTTCCCCGAGAGCTGGCGCGTGGGCTGCTGGCGCGGCCCTGGCTCCTGCCAGCGCTCATTCATTGCAGGAGGTAGCAGAAGCTTTGCAGAGACTGCATTTCAATCAAGCAGCTGGATATGACACTCACGTCAAAGCTGCCAAAGCAGCCCATTGACTGAACAGCTGCCGCTCTCAAGGAGCTGCTTTAGGACATCTGGAGGGCTGGCACGGCCCTGGTGAACAGAAACAGGCATCGCTGTGTCACGGCCCAAAAGCGACAGTCCGTGGTCAGAGCACGGCACTGTTTCACCATGACATTACCCTCAGTTCCAGGAAATGTTTTCACCCATGTCCCCCTTGCCAGCACTTAGCTGATGCTGACTCACAAATAAAGCCCAGAAGAGTCCTGTTTCCTTGCTGGTGAATCAGCCATTGTCTCTGTTCTGTTTTTTTCTAATTATAGCTACTGACAGGGTTTGCCAAGAATTTAGTGTTGATGAAGGAATTTGGAAAGGATGACAGAATTCCTCATGCCCTTCTCCCAGAGCTGTATCCAGGAACCTCTTGCTCCTGTCACGTTGCTTCCTACTGCTAAATTCTGCCTGTTATCCCACAGAGCAATGCCTTCTGGCATTCAGCATCCCCAATATCCTCATCAACCTAAGGCAGGACCCGCAGAGAATAGAGGAGCTGCTGCAGGGAGGGACTCTGAGCAGGAGCCTAAATTAGGTGTGTGATGCCCCCTCCAGAGGAGTTTCTTTCTCCATTGCCTGAACTGGGAATGTGACAGCCCAAAGTTAACTCATGGGAGTTCCCCTGAGGGCCTGTGGCAGGAGACGTGCTGAGTATTTCCAGCTCCTGTTGCCACTGGAGATGCCACTTAGTGCGAAATTAGTCCTTCGGAAGTGACTCTGCTCCTCAGTCATAATTAGTAGACGTTCTCTTCAGGAGAGCTGGATCAATACAACACAGCACCATCAGCTGTAATTGCTGCAGCTGTAAGTGGGTTTAAAATGAAGTTGCATTTCTGATAGAAGAAAGAGAAATGGAAGAGAGTGGGAAAGAGAGTGCAGAGAGTCCTGTGGAGCAATAGGTGTAGAGAACATTTTGGTTGATTGAGGCTTCAGCTTCTGGAGGGTTCCTGCTGCCTTGACTTGAGAGTAAAATAGATCAGGTTATTCCTGTGAAGAAAATGCTTTATTAGTTACATTTGGGAGCCTAATGCTCAGGCTCTTACAGTGCTTTCTGAGGCCTATAGCTCAACCGCTTTGAAGAAGGCATAATGAATTTGCATCCCACTTACGAGATCTCCAGTGTTAACTTGTCGCTGACTCCTAGATCTGAGAAGGGAGTTATCCCATGCCTGCTGGAAGCAAGGCAGGTTTTTGGCTATTTTGTGCCTGGGAACAGGCTGCAGAGGAAGACTGAGCTTGTGGCACAGGCTGGTAGTTCCCATGTTCTCATCCTTCATGTGCGGACATATGCCAGCAGCTGAAACCAAAACAGGATCCAAACTGGCTTCTGCTATGTTCAAAAGCTTCATAAGAACATCCACAGTCTTTTTTTTGTTGTGATTTGGTTACCTTCTGCTTCTGGTTATCCAGACTGGGGGTTTCCGTGAGATTTGTGTATGACTTCTTCATTCAAAAGCAGAACTGGAATTATTTTGCCCTTTTACATAAAGCAGTGTAAACATTGAAACCCATTGCTAAACACCGTGATGGCGGAATACTCATGGTTCATTTTTTCATTTTTGATCTTCTTGTACGGGTAAGGCAGGAATAATAACATTGTGAACATAATCCTACATCTAGCGTACTAACTGTGAAGGGTTTAAGCTCCTGGAGTCGCTGTGTCCTCCCAGCCCGATTGTGCAGCCCACGCAGACAACAAGTGAAACTCTGCCTTCATTAGGTTCAAAGTCCAAACTCTTGCAGAGTTTGGTAGAGCCCCGTTTTCATGGCCTGAATATAAGCCGGACTGGGTGGCTTGCTTTCATCATGAGCTCATGTATCTAACACTGAATCTTGGCTACTGCACCTATCCATCCATCACCAGATTTTTCATAGGAATGCTGCAGTCAGTGAGCACTTAGCACACAGAATTATTTAAAAAAACCAAACCCAACCCTGGCTAACCATTTCTGTAAACTATCTTGAAAAAATACCAACTTTAACAGTGTAGACTTAATTGCCATAACAACTGTGATATAAATGTCAAATCTCTTATGTTTGTGTTTGATTCCAGCTTAGCATATCTTTATTGATAATTTTTTATTTGTTTTGTAGAAGCCACCCTTGGCCCAGAAACAAGGGAGTTTACAACTTCTGCTCCAAATGCCAGCAAGGCAACGTCATTTTCAACAGCAGTGATAAACAGTACGTTGTCACCAACAACTATACAGACTATATTTCCTATAAGTTCCTCTGACAATAGTACCTCTGCTTTTGCAGATGTTTCATGGACTCAGTTTAACATAATTATTTTGACAGTTATCATCATTGTTGTGGTCCTACTAATGGGCTTTGTGGGTGCTGTCTACATGTACCGTGAGTATCAAAACAGGAAACTTAACGCTCCTTTTTGGACCATTGAACTCAAAGAGGACAACATCAGTTTTAGCAGCTACCACGACAGCATACCCAACGCTGATGTTTCGGGGCTGTTGGAAGACGATGGGAATGAAGTCACACCGAATGGACAGCTAACGCTGACGACTCCCATGCATAATTATAAAGCTTAGAAGAAGTGATCCAGCTATTCCAAAGTTGGCTTAAAAAAGTTACAGGGCTTGTTGAAGGGGTATCGGGATCTGTGCCAAGGCTCCACACAGAGGAATTTGCTCTTCAGATACTCTTATGCTGGGCATGCTGTAGCTTGCAGGTGAACAGAAAAAAATGTAGTACATCCGAATTTCAGGTAATATGATGAAATACATTCGGTGTCCTGTTCTCCATAAAGATCCATAGAATTCACTGTTGTTAAAGACTTGATTATGCTGATCTGAAGATATTTTTTTTTTATGAAGAGGTGGTGGGGTGGAGAAAGCAGTACCCCATGATTAATCAGCAGCTACTTGATTGCCAGCCAACCTAACACTTAAGTCTGCATCCTTTAGTTTGAAAAGTAGCTCATGAATTAACAGTGGATTTTCAGGAAATAGACCTTTGTAAAGTCTTCATATTAGTTCCTGATATAAATTTCTTTGAAAAGGAGGACAAAAAAAGGGAAATTATTGTTCACTGTACTACCCAAGGGCAAGTAGAGGAGTGAGTTGCACACTTGAAAAAAGTCACCATTATCAGTTTCCACTAAGCAGGGAAACAGGAAAAAAAAATCATGAAAATATTGGAGTTAGGGAAGAGACTAAGCTTTTCCCTTTCTGAGTATTTATACAGGGTGATGATGCTATTAAAACATAGCAATCCATTTTTTTTCTAGAAGGAGTTAATGAACTTGTATAGTTTCTGTGCAAGGGAAGACGACAAGACATCTCAGGGTTGCCATGTAAAAATAAAAGCTAGGCTTAATACCCTACCCTGATAGAAATGGTGTGTTCTGTATATAAAAATTAATATATCTTCTTGGAATTGTATTTGTAATTATTTGTAAAAAAGACAACCAACCAACCAAAAAAACCCCAACAACAAAACCATGAACCCCCTCCCCAGCCTCCCCTATTCCCCAAGTCATATTTTATCATCTAGATTTTAATTGTACAGCGGTTAGTGGCGTTGTTTAAAAAGAAAAAAAATGAGGATTGTTTAAAATACTGTAAATGAGATGGCAATATTGTTGGAGCTGGGACTCTGGCAAACACCGACTGCTTAAAGCTTTTCTTCTAGTGTCATTGAATAACTTTCTTTTTTAGAGAAAATGTGAGTGCTCCCTACTTGCATCTGTCAAATTTTCCCATTCCTTTAGATATAGAGTGAATACCAGTGTCGCCATGACTAGGGCCTAATAGGTGTCCAAAAATCGGATGTACCATTCTGTTACTTGCTTTTAAATCTTTATACAAAATGCAAGTACACTGTCATGAATGCACTGAGAGCCTGATCTCAATGGCCGAGCTTTTCCGAAGCGGCTGCTCATCACGTGAGTGGATCTCATTGCCATCTCTCCCGTGCTGACACGGGGACGGGGGGACTTGCCGGAGGGCTGAGCGCAGCCTCCTGGCCTCTTGAAGGGCAAAAGCAAAAATCTCCTGGATTTGGGTGGAAACGGCTTTCAGCCGAAGAGCTTCCAGGAACCGATCTGCGCTTCCAGGCTTAAAAGCTAGAAGCGCATGGATGCTTTCAGGAACTTTATGTAGCACAATGTGGTGATGGGGAATCAGCTGTCAAAAAAACCTACAGGGGACTTTAGGTTTTACAGATTCCCCTGATTTTTGTGGGAGACCGGCGGACTATTAGCAGAGGGAGAACAACTAATGGGCAGCACAGCACAGGGAGGTCGCACCACGGAGCTCCTCGCTTGGTACCCGCAGCGTGCATGCATGCCTCGAGGCAGGCACCGTGCCCTCCCTGTGCTGGGGAGCCGCCAGGTCCGGCCCGTGAAAATCAATACCATTACATTTAAGCAGGGCGTGAAACAAATAGTTCACCTAACTCATGACCGACCTCAGAACTAAAGCTGCATTGCTGTGCGTGTTGGTGCTTTGCAAGCGATTGATGCTGAGGATAAATGAAGTACCTGCTAAAGGTCAGCAGGAGCTGACTGATGCATCCTCAGAGCCACGCAAAAGTAAATATTTCTCAAGATGAGAAATGGTAGGAAGAATGTGGTGATTATTTATTTGCTTTCTGGTGCTGCATGGAGGCTTTTCTTATCATTGGAGACTTTTTTTGGGGGGTGGGAGGGAATAGGTGCTCTAAACACATGCACAAAGATGCCATTTCTGCCTCAAAAACTTGCTGCCTGATTCAAAGATGAGGCACGGCAAGTAAGAGGGAAAATAGTCGAGGAGGACCAAGGGAAACGGTGAGGGCAGAATGTGATATTGCATATAGGCCTGAGCTGATGGAAGAGCTCCCATTGCCTGCTGTGGGCCTGGGTGAGGTCCCACAGTTTAGGTAACAAATTTGGCTGATGTCATTCAGAGCAATGTTGCTTTTAGTTATAAAACGGGGGAGGACTGGAGGAGAAAATCTGGATATTGCTAATCCTCCAGTCACTCATCAAACTTTTAAAGAGCAGAGTGGTGACAAAATAGAAAATTTCCTAAAAATTGTAATTATTTAGCAGTGCTGATTTAGTGATACACTTGCACTTGGTCACTTCATAGGGTGGGGAAAGGTAATTTAGGAAGTGTTAGCTTCTGGGACTAATGCTAGCAGGCAAAGTGAAGGACAGATTGTTCACTTTAATGTTTCCAAAATATTTTAGTAGATCTTTTCATCTTTGCCACAAAACACCTCTTCCTCAAATTTTGGTATGACCGTAGGCTACTTTGTAACAGGAACAGGCTTTGATTTTTCTCTCATTGTAGAAATAATGACCATCTGCAATACCAGAGGGTGAGTTCAGATGCTGAGCCCTCCTAGTCCATGCCTACCACAGCACAGGAGGTGTTTGCATCTGGGCTGCTTCTGACCTCCAAATTACTCTAAACGCTTTGTGTTTGAGCCTGGGGTTTGAAAAGAGGAGGAGGTCAGGATGCCTTACAGTCTGTCTGCAAGGGAGGGTGGTACAGCCATGCCGTTGCCTGTGGGTCGCACATCTGGATGAAGGGATCTAGATGGCCCCCGTAGATGTGACGGGGAGCTTGGGTGGGCAGGGGGGACCTGGCTGCCCAGGTCAGCAGAGGAAAGCACAGGATGTTCTTTAGCAGGGACTGGAGCACAGCAAGGATGTGGCACTGGGACAATGCTTGTCAGATGGCAAAATGACTCAGCAGGAAAATACCAGCCATCTCCAGCCAACCAGGCCTTTGGCACAGAGGAACAACATTTATAAAAGGAGAGCGATGCCTCAGCAAAGAAAGAATAAACAGCTTTGTGTTTGGCTTTGGTGATGCGAGATTAGATCTTCCTTGCTCTCTCCACCAATCATGCAGCTGTCCCCTGGGCACCACAGGAGGTGAGGAAGAAGCTGAGCTAGTTGTATCTCCAAATCTTAGGTTGGCATTGTATTTCGAGGGGGTGCAGGGCTAAAACACCTGTGCCAAGGTACTAAAGGCCACCAGGACCTGCCATGTGTTATAACTTGTCATGAAGCTTCCCAGATGTTGAGGTTTGCCCTACGCCACGTTGGGGTATGGGCAGGTAAACCAGAAATGGGCTTTCAGGGCTGCATTGCAGCCCAGCTCAGAAGCTAGCAAGACAAGGGGAAGGCATCTGACTTCTAGGGTTGATGTGGCAATATGGATACACGTAGCTTTCCTGAGGGGCCACGGGGCATGCCGCTGTCTGGCTGCAGTGGTGTGGCTGTCGTGGAGAAAGGCAGTCGATGGCATGGTACGGTAGCTGTAGAGCATAGAGAAGGTACGACAAGGCAGGTGAGGGCTGGGTGAAGGTGGGAAACCAGCTCTCAAGGCATGATCCTCAGGGTCATGAGGGCCCTGTGGATCCAGCTGGTCTGGATGGGGTGAGTTCAGTTCCACAGTCAAGTAACTGAAGGCAAGAGGATATAATGGAGCTGTTAAAGGGCAAAAAGCAATGATGTGTCAAAGGCACGGGGCAGCCTGGATGGCTCACAACTTGGGAGAGCATTTGGTAAGCACAGAGTGCAACAGACGTGTAAAAATGTGATTGGGTTAATGTGGATTAGATGATCTCGAATCTTATGAGCCACTTTAGCTAGAAATAACTGCGTGGAGCGCTAGCCCTGGGGAGCTGTCAGGAGAGGTCATCCATTGGAATGATAATTCCCTTGGACCAGGCTGAGCAAACTTAGCACGCTGGAAGCCATTTACGAGAGAGGAGGGGATGTATTCAGCATCCTTCAGGTATCCTGGGCCAGTTAACCACTGCTATACAGCATCTTTATCTTAAATGTTACATGCAATGTAAATGTGGCAGAAAGTTTGCACAGTCTCCTTTAAATAAAGGATATAAGATTGAATCCTAAAAATAAGTTTCTCTTTAAAGAAGTGAAGTTTTAAAATGAGCTCCCACAGGACTCTGCTCTTCATGTGTCAGAGGGATGGATTAAAATAAGAAAAATGTGGGCCTTAAAAGTTGTACTTGCTCCCAATTGAAACCCATCAGTCTTACTACACATCCAAATAAGGCGTCTCCTAAGCATATGCTATGCTTACAAAGGCATTTCTTAAAAAAAAAAAGTGTATGATTTGAATATATGTCAGAATTTATACAGAAGAATGTTATTTAAAATGAATAAAAATAAATGTATATAATTTGTATCTATGCCACTTGGATTTTTGCATTTGTTTTTTGTTCATTAAAGTTCAGCAGGAGTCTTTCCACCGACTGCGATCAGAGCTGGATTGAAACCTAAAGGATTGCATCTGATCTCATCCCAGCAATGGCATTCGTTCCAAGAGAATTATCCCTTCATTATAGCCCTGCGTGTGAGATGAGAACCATGGCACAAAAATGTTTTTTAACATCAGATATTCATAAGTACCGTTGACATTGTGTGTCAGATAATCCATCTGAAAAATGAGCCCTATGATCTCTTGCGTCTGCTTATTAACCATTCCAGCTTTCAGCTACTTTCATTAACATGTTTGGTAGCTAGACAGTCAATGTGTATTTCCCCATTATTGTCTGTAATATT